GTTGGTTAAATGACTGCCTTCAGCGCAGGTCACGATCCCAGGGTCCTGGGATCAAGTTCCGAATCGGGCTGCCTGCTCAGTGGAGAGCCTGCTTCTCCCTCCTCCTCTGCTCCTCCCCCTGCTTGTACGCTCCCTCTCTCTCTCTTTCTCTCTCTCTGCCAATTAAATAAATAAAATCTTTGGAAAAAAAAAGTCTCTTTTCCCTCATTAGATAACTTTTCATCTACGGGTAGGTTAAATGAGGGAAACTCGCAGAAGATACAAATGTGTATTTATTGAGTGTTTTTTTCAAGTCAGGCTGAATAACTTTATTTTATATTTTGAAAAATGGGGTATTTTTAATAGAATTTATTGAAATCAATGCTTTTTTATAATTTTGAATTTATGTCTAATGCCATAACTTTATTTTATTTTTTTTAATGCCACTCTTCACACAAAGGCGAAATATTTACTGGTCATTCCCATTGCTCTATGCAACTTAAATGTTGATTTACTTCTTCATTCATACTATCCCTTGAAATCTTGTCTAAAAGTTATAGAATACTAAAAAATGACATTTTGATTGAATGAATTCTGTTTCTCCTTTAAGCTCCAAACATAGAAGTGTCAGAAAAATCTCAGCTATTCTAATCTAAATAGCTAACTAAAATTTCTTTAAGAAATAGTTATTGTCCATTTTTAGATGACATTTTAGAAATTTACATTTCACAGGTGCAACAGATCCAATACTATCAAATTCAATGTTCACCATATGCAAAATGAATGCTTTTTTAAAGCAGAAATGTATATTTATTCAAAAATTTTATTATACTAGTTATACTATTGTAATAAATAGCTCCCTCAAATAGTAAACAGTGTGTTTATATCCTTATCAAGGACTTGTATAATTACCTTTTAGACATCTTGTTTTTTTTATGAACAGTTTTGAAAACAAAAACTATTTGGTTTTGGAATTTTATTTATCTTTTAAATAAGTTGAAAACTGAAAACTGGATTAGAACGAAGACAGTGCTTGAAATCTCTGTTGTATGTAAACCAGTTATCATCCACTGCAATTTTTTAAAATTATTGAGAATTGGTTCACTCTTAAAAGTTCCATTAACATTTATTTCGATTTTTCATCTAGGTCCCTCTCATTCACCACAAAAATAGTTTTGACAAAATAAATGATATTGATATCATTAAGGACACAGATATTTGTATTGAAACTTGAAACTAGTCCAATACTGACCAAACACCTTCTTCATTGTAACAATGTTCACTCTCTACTATAAAAGTGCATAATCTATACTTTTTTTTGTTTTAATTTAAACAGTATCATTTACATCCTCCATCTTTGAAAAATAGTACAATTTGGCTATTTCAATCCACAGAATTGCTCTTATACATTTTTTTCCCCCACAATCCAAAGGAATACATTTCCACACTCATCACAGAATAGACTTCCTAACAGTATCTCCATGTGTGGGGTTAACCTATGGATGTTTACCAAATCAAAATGTGAATTTGTGAAAAATTATGTCTCTAAGCCATGAAGATCATGATATAATAATGTTTCAAAGTCAAGCTTCCTTTTGTATTCTTACTTGTCACCTTTCAAATAGTAGGTAGTGCTAAATAGTTCCAATCGCATATTGAAAATCAGTTTTTCAACTAAAACAAAGAAAAAACAAATCCTTTTTACTACTGAAGATAATTATACATCCTGAATAATTAACCAATCTTCTACTTTTGTGCCAAATATATTTTATACAACTTGCTGATTCTTACATGATCTAATGGCCTCAAAAATTTAAAATGTACCACTATTTTTAGGCCATATAGCTATATAGCATATTTAAATGGAATATATGCCTATGAGCTTTTTGATGATACTATATCTGAAAAATTCAAATATCATGCCAGAGCTCTGCTCCTTTTATTTTATGTGTTGAAAATCATTCTAAAAACTCCTCATGGCTGATGGCAACTTTTCAAGTAACCATTAATAAATACACACGAAATAATCAAAAAAGGTATTAACCAGACCAGTTAGACATTTAGATAAAGCAATGGAAGTGTACGTAGCCTCACAGCAGGTTTTCTTGCTATAATTTCTCTCAAGGACCATAGACATATCCATAAACCTTTAGGTTGTTTGGAGAAGGAAAGGAAGTTGGTTTCTGGAGATATAATGCCATGGCTCTAAGGATTTTTTTTTTTTTTTTTTTTTTTTTTTTGGTGAGTGATAAACATGCTCCCCAAGGCCTAAAACAATGCTCCATTTTCTTGATGCATTAAAGGGACCTCTGATCCCTCAGGAATATTACAGAAACTTCAAATGTTTAATTTAACAATGTGACCTAGTTAACAATATTAAAGAGAACCTCGCTCCTTGGCTTTCCTGCTTAGGAATGTATGAATTTTCAGTCCTGTAAAATAAACAAGCATTTTATGGGAAAAGACTTAAGGAATGTCTGCCTACACTATGCAAACTATTACTGAAATAAAAGAAGTCATGCATGTCCACTTCAAAAACTTCTTGCAAGGACTTGTATATTGTTCTAGTGTAATGTCAGATTTGTCAATAATGTCTTCAAATTATGGTATTGAACTGATGCAATAAGGACTTAAAGCTGTCTGGGAATGTTCAAAGTTTCACACTTATGATTTAGATGCGTGTATTTACTTATAAGAGAAGACTACAAATAGAATCCATATTCTAGTATCACTGCTTTATCTCATTTTTAAAGAGGCACTTCTTCATATTTCTTAGAGTGTATTTTCACGATAATCTCTTTCTTTGAAGATATCAGGCAAAAATGTGTGCAAATATCACTGACCATAAAAGGAAAGTGATTTATTTTTAAACCAGCTTTGGAAGCAGCTGCCCCTGAAACAATGGAAGAAAGAAAGGATATAAGAAAGAGCTGGTGGAACAGGCAGGGTGAGAGAAGCAGGAATGACTGGTCCGTTCCAAATCAAATGTGGTAATCCTTTTAACAAGACAGCTACGAAGGAAAGCATAGATTTCAAAATAGACAAATTCATTAGGGCAAACAGCCGTGTGTGCACGCATATGCATGCACAAAACAGAGAGAGAGAGCACCATCACAATTAAAATGACATGTAGTGGTGCTTATTTACTAAGTTATGTGACAACAGACATAGCTACATAACAGGAAATACTAGCGGAAAATATCTCTAAATGCTGCTAGTTAGCGGATTCTGGAAGGTAAATTTATAAAGTTGATCAAATATCCCTTGACTAAGCAGGTCCAAAAACATTCCTGGACAATGAGTTTATTCACAGATTGAATTAGATAAAGCAATTTCAAAAGGCATCATTGTTGTAATTTGTTCATTCATTTAAAAATATTCTACACAATGCAGCCAATTCTCAATTGCTCATTTGAAGAAGAGCAGACACATAGCAACGGGATGTAAAATTTCCAAATGTTGGGTAAGGGAGATGATGGGAATCATAATTAGACAGGTATACACGTATAATATGCCCTTCTGGTTATTTTTATACCTTACGACACTACCCTTATGAGAGGGGAAAGAAGCTGGCTATGCTAGTTGACATCTGAAGCTGGTAGAATTCTAAAAATTGGCAATAAACAATGTATATCAAGAGAAACACAGGAGAATGAAAAGTTGACCATCTTCCTGTACTTTGTTTCTGTTTTATCCTAATACATTATATTGCCTAACACTTGCTTCTATCATATATAAAGTCCAAGACTATAAAATGTATGTCAGGTAGGCCAAAATATAAGAATCCTGTGGTTAGGGTACTTATAAAGATAAGAGTTGCTGTGGCTTTTTATCTCCAATTCATTCTGATCTCTATAATATTTGTGGGTAGAGCAGAGGGCCTGACACTTGTTATTCTTCCAGACTTGATTTAAGGTTGGCATTTTTAAGGTATATTTTAATCCTATTACTTACATATGTTTATGTATTTTTACCAACACTGGATAGTCCATTCGTGATACCGCAAGTTGATGTACTGATCTTGATTTTAAGATTTTTGGTATAGAACTGTAAGTGGAATTTTTGAAGCTTTTGGCTAAAAAGTATATAAAGGCTGCTACATGCCTTTATTTCTGTTGGTTTCCAAGAGTTCCTTGAGATATTTTTCTTTCAAAAGTATATTTCAGTGGTAAATTTTCAATCTCAAAAATTAGCACTCTGAAAAGGTGGTAAAAATCTTGCTTTTTCACACTGGAATTTGAAATTTAAAGTAAGATTTTTAAAATGTTCTATAATTGTAGAATTTTTATGAAATAAAAACTAACATAAGGATTCCACATCTAGATTTAAACTATAATATGCTATCTCAGATTCCCTCAGATGCTTTCATTATGTCTTATGGATGCAGTATGTTCTTTCAATCTTTTCTGAAAAGAAAATCTGTACTTATAGGACCATTAAGATAATTAACTTGAATTTGAGAGAAATTATATTACTCTTGGTCACCTGGTACTGCCTACATTATGTTGAGAACTGTTGTTTTGTGAAGGAAAAATATATTTCACTAAAATGGCACAGACTCAAGATTGCATTACAAATCAAATTAGAATTCCCTTAAAACAGGTTCACTAAAAGTCTGTTTCAGTATACCTCATTTTCATTAACTTTAGTGGAAGCAGTTTTCCAGAGTTAGTATCTCATGTAATCACTTATAATCTCTAAAACCATTGAATATGTATGATTTATTTTATAAGCCTGTCACATCAAGGATTTATTAGAGCTCAATAAAAATATATATGTGCATGTGAATATATATATATATATTTCCAACCAGTGCACAAGAATTAGAAATTAGCCCCTTATCTGTACATGGCAACTTTTATGTCCAAAGTTAGTTGTCAAAACACTATTCACGTATGAATTCTCTTTCTCTTTGTTGAAGAGATTTTTAGGGAAAATGTCCTTAAAGTACATGAGACATGGATACAATAGGATCTCAAATAAAAGACACACTGTGAAGACAGCAATTTAAAAAAAATCCACTCGTTTTCAGAATTCCACATCTTAATTTAGGAAACATATCTTTTCACAAGACTCCAGAAATTAAACAACATAGAAGAGTTCAAGTGTTTAGTTTACCAGCTCCTCTGCCATTCCTTGTCTCCAAAATTCAAGGCCAGTGATAGCCACTAGGACACATTTTCTGTGAAATGAAAATCACTAGACAGGAAATCACTAGACATTTATCATACTAATTTCCTAGAATCATCTAGTTACCTGTGTCCATTAAAAGTACATTGGAATATGACAGTTTCAGAGAAAAACATTGTAACAATCACTATGAGAGCTGAAATATGGCTTCATAGGAAACAGGGCTACATTTAATTAGCTTCCATTGTATATGTGTCTTTTCTGTTTTTTGTTATAGTTCATATCACTGGCATGGACTCATGAGCCAATCTTTTCCAATTTCAGTTACTACCAAAGTTTACAAACTTGACGTGAAGATTACAGTATATTTACAAAGAACTTGGCACTTACAGAATAAATTATTGACTTTTTTCTTTAACTCCAGACCAGGGTACCCATGGTTCAAGCGAATGGGAAAGCCCAATGCTTTATTTTATATTATGCTACATTTACATGAATAAGTAAGTTTCCAGCTGGTCATTCCTCCATAGTGCTGTCCCTGTTGCTGAAAACAAGTACCTTCCATTCCTAATCCATGGGGAGTGCAGAGAAGTTATCAGTCCAGGGAGAGCAAAGGCTGCATGTTTTCTTCCTCATTTTTATCCATGCGTTTTAATACTGTAGGATCCACTACTGATTGGGATCTGGAAATGATAAGGCCAATGTCAGTGGGTTACTACCAAATAATCACGTTCCCTTCTCTGCCTTTTCTCCATTATTACTTCTCTCACAGATGAGGATTATCTTCCCTTCAACAAGAGATTTATGAACTGAGAATGCTGCATGTTTAGGGAGGGATATATTTACAGTGGGTTTTTTATCGGAGGGAGAAAACAATCCCCTTTGAGCTCTAAATAGAGTAACGAGCAGGAAAGTTTTCTAAATGAACCATAATAAGCTTAAGTTCTCCTCTTCACAACTGATCAAGAGTGTCTTCTTTGAAAGTGAGAATTTATAGTATAGGACAGATGGATGATGATAGAACATGTCCAAGTGGGAAATTATTACAGTGAAACTACTGCTCTAAGAAATGAAATAGAAATGATAGGAGTCTTGATTCCTGTCTTAAAGAACTCTATGATCTGAGGCTGGTTAAGCCAGGACTCTTGATTTTGGCTCAGGTCATGATTGCAGGGTGATGAGATATAGCCCTGTTCTGGGTTCCATGCTGGGTATGGAGCCTGCTTGAGATTCTCTCTCTTTCTCTCTCTCTCTCCCTTGCCCTCTGCCCTCCCCCAGCTTGCATGCAACCTCTATCTCTCTCAAATAAATAAATAAATAAATCTTTAAAAAAACTCAGTGAAACAAATTCAACATGAATGTGCATTTTTTTTAGCTATCATTTTTTATTTCTAATGACCACATTAGAAAAAAAAATCAAAATTTGAGAGTTTTTGTTAAATTTCCCACTAGAACACCTGAATAAAGTCAGTTTACTATGGAAAATTTCAGGGAATGATTTAAGACCTTTAAAAAAAAAAAAACAACCCTCTTATATAGGCAGAGAAACTTTCTGATTAGGAGGACAAATAATTTGAACTCCTTACACCCACTTTTGATAGTAGGTAGGAATTATATCTCAATTCATCATTAGAAAACAACATGAAACTGGGAAGGAGGAAAGTCAATGAAACATGCTACTGTTATGGCAGGAAACTGCTTTCTTAATAGCTATGGCATTAAAGAAGCAGCTGCCCTTTTAAAATTCTCCTCAGTAATGAATTTTCCCCCTGCTGCTGCATTCCAGCCAATTGGCTATTGCTGTGGCAATATGCCTCTTAGCAAACCTCATTAACTCTCAAAAAGAAAGACTATAAGCTAAAATACAACTGCACATGCTAATGAAAAAGAACAGCAATGGAACTAATTATCAAAGCAAAAATAATTATAGAATTAACTGATTAATTGACTCATTCATTTAAATAAACTTAAATTTGATTCCAAAGAGGGAACAAAAAGGAAGGCGAGGGCATTAAAACAAGAATGTTTTATTTCCTAAGTCATTTTCATTATTTTGTCTCAATAATAGGTTATATATGTCTATATCAGAAAGGAGAGCAACTAAAGTTGAATTAGCAGATGTGTGAGAGCGAGTGAGAGAGAGAAGGAGAGGGACGAGGAGAAGAAGAGTAGGAGGAATAAAAGATTTTGTATCACTTTTAAATGCAATAACAATTTATCTTAGGAAAAATCCTTTATCTCATGAATAAAACACATTTTAACACAGTGGACAATTGTACAAAACACTTGGGAATTAGAGCTTTACCACAATTTTACTTAGGTTCAACTAAAAAGAATTATTTCCCAAGAAAAATCTGTGCTAAATCACAAAAAAAAGTTCATTGAATGCTCTGTACTGAAATATTAACTTGACAACTGGTACCCACTCAACTGCAAGTTCCATGAGCAGGACTTCATCAGTTTTTCTCCTTACGGTGAACACAACATGTATTACAGAGTCTATTACACAACCGAATCTCAATATCCCAGTTCTATCCAAGAAACAGTTTCCAATATTGAAAGAAGTTTGGTGTTAAGCATTTAAAACTAAGAGTAATAAAGATAAAGCAAATTATCTTTTTTTTAAAAGATTTTGTTTATTTATTGGGATACAGAGAAAGAGCTAGAGAGCACCCAGTGGGGGAGAAGGGGAAGCAGGCTCCTCGCAGACCAGGGAGCCTGATGTGGGGCTCAACCCCACCTGAACAGAAGGTAGATGCTTAACCGACTGCACAACCCAGGTGCCCCCCAAAAAGAAATTCTTAATAGAAAACGGGTTTTAAAATTCTCACAAAGTTAGATTTATTCTGTAAATGTTGATGCGTATCCTAATAATATCAATCAGTACACACCAAAGCTCTTCAGACAGCACAAAGAACAGAATTTAGGCATTGGTCGTAAGGTTCTATTAAAACATATATCATGTACACACATGGGCACACACACCCACACACAATCTTTTAAACCCTTATGTTCCTTGACTATTAAAAAAAATGATTAGAGGGTATGGTGATTTTAATATTTTAAATTATAGTGCACTATCAAACCGCAACTAAATTCCTAGTTTGCTTTTCTCATGCACGACCAGTATCAGAATTGTTGGATGATGAATACTGGCTCCATATGTAGAATAATTCCTCAATAAAACAAGCCAGGCAGAAATGATTTCTGATTAAGATTTTTTTTTTTTTTTTAGTATTTAATTGTCCCAGATGTACTGTTATTTTAGTCCAGATTTTTTTTTTCTGTCTTATCCAAAACAACAGGGCTATTTGTGGAGGACCACGACTTGTCAGTGCATTGTTCTGTTTCCACTGCAACAAAAGGAGTTATCATTAACTCATAGCGTATCTCAGCGGTCTCCACATAGCCTCTGCTGTCTTTGCAATGAATAACTTGTATTTTTTTTTCATGGAATCCAATCACTTAAGTTTAATTATTCAGATATCATTTTTTCATTTATTGTGCATCCACAATATGGCACTATACCTTCGTGTTTAAGAGGATAGATTTGGGACAGAAGGAGATTCCTATTCCAGTTCTGTTATTTGCTAGCAGTTTGACCGAGAGGAAGCTATTTAAACTTCCTAGATTTTATTCTTTTAACTACAAGATGGAGAAAAATAACCTACATCATACAGATGTACTGAGGATCAAATTCAATAATGCATGCATAAACTGCAGCACAGATTCTGGCAGATAGCAAATAGTAGCACTTAGGGAGATGACTTATGGAATCATGTGGCCTGTTTTCAGATATTGGCAGCATTACTTTGCAGCTATGTCCCAGGTGGAAGATACTTACCCTCTCTGTATCTGGGTCTCCTCACCAATGAAAGGGGAATAGCACTGCCTGATTAATTGTTTACAGAAGCAAAAAAGTCAATATATACAAAACATTAGATGGAATTTGACATGTAGTAACAATAGATGTTGAATATTATTTGATAAACTCAGAGTTCATATTACAATAGCAATGTTAATATCTATATAATGTTAATATCTAATATAATAGCTGCTCACTGCAACTGTTATGTGCCTATCCCAGGCACTACCCTAGGTAGTAGAGACAGAAGGTAAAAGATGTTCCCCTAGTATAAGGCCCCCACAATCTACTGAACTTTGTTTCTTTTCATGTGACCATACTATTCCTCCACAAATCGACCCAGGAAAACAAACCCTTCTTCCCACACACCTACTTAATTCTGAAGGAGGAAATATCTACAAGTCTCTGGTGAAGGAATGATTTTTCTCCCTCTCAATCTAATGATATTACAAAACTGGGGGGGGGGGATGGAGGAGAGGAGAGCAAGGGGAAAATTAGGAATAATTCTCTCCCATCCTTGATGGGGAACTGGCACTCCCTGACACACAGAAGGTGAGAATTGAATGAAATAACTTTCTTAAGCTCATTCTTCACAAGTTTTCAGACAGAACCTGAAAAGCTTCATATGATACAAAATGTACACCAAACAAAGGATGTCTGAAATTCTAATCAATCTACGTCAGAAGCAAGAAACTCCGGGTTGGGGAGGTCAACGTGCTGTGAGCCAAGTCTGCAGAGGACAGAATGGCCTAATTAATTGGAGAAGAAAATCAGGATCCAAAAAGACTTCAAAAGGTGGACAGACTGAGCCAAATCTAACAAGATGGTGTTAATCAATTAAAATTATCTGCTTGAAAGGAAAAGCTAAACACAAAAAGAGAATTATGAGGGTACGGATCTATAAGTAAAGAACCTTCTAATGCTAGGGAGCTCAGTATGAGTCAGCAATGTGCTTTGGCTGCCTGAACCTCAGCAACAGAGTCAACAGAAACGAAAGGAAGCCAATGTGGGTGAGGGGATGGGGGTGGGGGGGGCGCAAAGCTAGGGTTCTGGAACTTAGATGCAAGTAGTGATAGCATCAGATGTCACCTATTCAAGTTGTTCTCACTTAAAAGGGGCCACTGACAGACAGCAGAGTGCTCCTTCATTCACTCCACTGGTCCCCAGTGGGCACCCTCTGTGTTTTAGGCTCTACTCCAGGTGCTGGAGATTCAGAGAATGGGATAGACAAAGTCACTGAAGTCTTCATGAAGCCTAAATATGGGGAGGGGACCATATTCATAAAATGAATCATTTGGCAGGCAGAAAATAAAGGAAGCGACTGATAGGGAGAGACAAGAATGAGGAGGAAGTAGAGTTGATTAAGACCTAGTGGTTGATAAAGACCTAACCACTCTCTCAGGTAGGTGACTTTGGATTGGGAGATGCAGGAAAAGAGCACCATGCAGTAGGGACAAGTGGAAAGGCTTTTAGAGAGGAACAAGCTGGAGAGGAAGGCTGCAAGAGCAAAAGGAAGGAGATTGTGGCTGAAAGAGAGGAAAGAGACGGTGGGATACACTTAGAGGAGTGAGGGGGCGGGATCAGATCATAGAGCACTTTGGAAGCCATGTTACAGAATTGATTTCATTCACTGTATAACCAGCAGTCGTTAAAAAATTTAAAGCAGAGAAGTGAAATGATCTGACTAAAATTTAAGAGATGTTTTAGATTGCCATATGGGTACTAAGTTGGAGCCAGGGGAGCAGAGTAAGGGTAGAGGCCAAGACACCAGGTAAGAAGTTTGGGAGGAGGGCAGACATGCAGACTGCAGGTGATAGGATACACCCAGGATGTGGAAGATGCGGAGAGACATGTGCTCTGCGGAAAGGACCGTGTTAGCGAACAAGTCGCAGAAGTGGTTGAAGGAAATGAGCATTGAGCATTGTTTGCTGGTAAAGGCAAAGATCAGGGATCACCTATGACAGCTGTTTCCAAATCCTTATGTAGCTTAGTTCCAGGGTGACAGCTTTACATTGTGCTGTCTCAGAGGGTAGACAAGGAAGGTTTACTCTATACCTCATTGATTGGAACCCGGGTCCACTAATTATAGACTATGTGACTTTGAGGATACAACATCTGTTTAACAGGGTTGCTGTGAGGATAAAATAAATTAATGTTACAAAAAAATACGTAGACAGGGCCAGAGACTCATGATAAGTACATAGTAAATCACAGATTGTAACAACAATTAGGATTATTATTTTTATTAGAAGAAAGTTATTCTGGGGCACCTGGGTGGCTCAGTCGGTTAAGCATCTACTTTTGGCTCAGGTTATTATCACAGAATCCTAAAATCAAGCTCCACACTGGGCTCCCTTCTTGTTAGGGAGCCTGCTTCTTCCTCTGCCCCTCCCTTTGCTTTCTCTCTCTTTCAAATAAATAAATAAAAATCTCCCCCCCCCAAAAAAAAGGAAGGAAGGAAGCTATTTTTAGGCAACTGTTTTTTAAATATTTTTGTTTTAGAAAACTTTTTTGAGAAGTTGATGAAATATATTCTTTTCCTCCAGAAAAATGCACAAAATACCTACACCTGCACACACATACACATACAATTTTTAATATAAATTTTAGCCCTTAGCAGACTCCTCTGAGAGCCCATCCATGGACTGACTTGATAGGGGAGCATAGAACTCACAGTAAGAAGCCCTGTTTAAAGAGAAAGGAGTTGAGAAGCCCAGACTTGGCTTACACATAAGCTTGTTGATTCGTGGAGAAATTAAAGCAGGAGATGTCTCCAGCCTTTCCTTTCTCTCCAAGGCATCATGGAGCAGCCTGGGGAGAGGAGAACATCACACACACCAACAACAGTAGCAGCAACAGCATCGGCAGCACAAGAAGGCCTGCCTCTGAGGACAGTGGTGGCCCTGCATGAACATAAGTATGACCAAAGGACCATAGGTTTTCATCAGAGAAAGATACAAGACAGTGTGAGGGATGATAGGGGTGATGCCTGGATTCTCCCTGGTCTAGGTGAAAAGAGACTTATAGGGAGTGTTCTTATATTTCTGTGGTGGGAAATGAACAGAGAAATAATATTCATTGCTATTATCCAAGTGACCTCTAGGTTGCTGTGGCCTGGGGGAGCCTGAGAATTAGATATCTTTTGGTTCGCTACAGAAGGCAAACTCAGAGGCAGTCATGCAGTTGGGCATGTTCAGCAACTCCCCCATCCTCCATCGCCACTGAGCTATGGCTGGATATGTATATATTCACAGGGAATCCAAAGCACCTAGGGAAGTATCCATTACAGAGCATGTGTTCAATAAACGTGCATTGACTAAAAGAAAACAGGCATAAAAATACCATGAGAGTCAAAGCGAGGAATCAGAATCTCACTCAAAAATGAACTTTATAAAGAGTAAAGCTGTAGGAAAACAGACTGTTTTGCCCCAGGAATGGCTAGACCTTTAAATCAGAAACAGGGCAGAGATACTTGAAGAGAATATATGTTTTATTTTTTTTTTATTTAATGTTTGTTTATTTGCCAGTGTGTCTTTATTTTTTCCTTCATGAACATAGTGAACATTTTTTTAAATTTTTTTTAATTTTATTTTTTATAAACATATAATATATTTTTATCCCCAGGGGTACAGGTCTGTGAATCGCCAGGTTTACACACTTCACAGCACTCACCATAGCACATACCCTCCCCAAGAGAATATATGTTTTAAATAAATAGGACTGAGATACTTGAAGAGAATATATGTTTTAAATGTACTGTTTGAAATGTGTGTGTGTGTGTGTGTGTGTGTGTGTGTGTGTGTGTGTGTTTGCTATGGATCCCTTTCTTCAAATAAAATTTTATACAAAAGTCTAGTAAATTGCTTAGATAGAAGAAGAGTTGCTCTCATTGTGGAGATGGGCACTGTCCTCAACCCACCTGCTGGGCCTAAGGTACTCCTCCAGAACTCTAAAGGTACAGTTTGAAAATCCACTAGATTTGGTGACCCCTAACAGCTTTGCCAGATTGTCTCTGAACATGGAACAAAGCTGAGTTGACATTGTCTTGAATGACTTTATCTTTGGCTCAAAATTCCTAGATGTCTAATCATGGGGACATAAAAGGATTTAAAAATCCCACTGAATATATACTCCCCAAGAGTACTCCCCTAGAGTTCACTTGGGGCATCCCCACACTGACTACAGCTCACTTCCCAGCCACCTCCATCATACCTCTTCATGGACTTGGGGGAGAGTTCCTTTTCCACCTCCTTCATGGGCATGCTGTAGGAGTCTACATTGTATTCACTGTCATCATCATACTCGTGGTCTAGCAGTGTTCTTGCCCATGTTCCCATGTCATAAGGGGGCAGCATTCCTCCAAACTCAGAAGGCAGGATCTCAGGATGAATTAGTTGGTGTAGACTGTTCAGGTTGTTACCATGCAAAAATATCTACAAATGCAAGAAGGAGAGAGGAGAAACACACAGGAGAATAGATACCATCCAAATGCTAGGAGGAGGAAGTGAGGCTAGGAACAGCAAAAACAAGATTTTTCCATGTCTGTTAAAATATTTAAGCCCTTCATCCATCTGTGAAACAGACAGGGATGGTACTGTTATCCTAATATGTCATATAAAAATTCTGAGGCGTAGGAATCTTAGGTAGTTCCTAGAAAGTCAGATAGTGGTTGGGTTAAAAAGCTGGAAACTGAAATTTGGTTTTCTACTTTATAGTGAAGACATGAGCAGAATCCAATGGGCATGTTGATCCGTACATCATCTTGACATTAGTTATGCAAAGCTAACGATATGCATGATGAATGCTGTTAAAATAGACCGTTCTCATAAGGGACTCATCAACTGTAGAGCCCATCCAAGTTATTAAGCCCAAAAGCTGTTACCAGTATGGCTTTCTCTTTTATCATCAATAAAAATAAGAATACTGTAACCACTAAATTACTGCTTTGTAATTCAAAATGTTTGATGTAAATAAAAGCAAATTAGCATTATCATAATGTAAGGTTGAGTGAAGGTTTAGATCCCAAAGGACTTACATTCTATAATGCTGCCAGCATCTTCTCTACTAGAGGTTTCCATGCTTATTGTTTAAATAAAAATGGAATAATAAAGTGAAAATGTAAAGCTGTATGTGTACATTAATTATTGGTATTACCTAGAGCTTTTTTTTGAAACTAAAAAATCATTGGGACACCTGGGTGGCTCAGTTGGTTGAATGTCAGACTCTTGGTTTTGGTTCAGGTTGTGATCTCATGGTCATGTGATCAAGTCCCACATCAGGCTCCTCACTCAGTGTGGAGTCTGCTTGGCATTCACCCTCTCAATCTCCCTCTGCCACTCCCCCAGCTCTCTCTCTCTCTCATAAATAATCTTTAAACTGAAAAATTATTCAAGGTACATATTCAAGATTTGTTTCTCCATAAATTTTACCTCTTTTCTCTTCTTTCATTTCAATCTCCAAAACTGTAGATCATCTTCCCTGAAAAAGCACTTGTATCATCTCATATAATTTATATAATATTTAAGGATTATAGTTCATAAGTCACTTAGAAATAGTTATAGTTTCTAAGTGACTCATACTTGAAGTTTATGATGAACAGGCTAACATAATTATCTTTGCTTTCTGTCATTTCAGAGTCCACTGAAATAAATATATAGGACAACAAAGAAAAACTAGTCTACAACACCCAACAAAGTAATAGGGATAGGAATTATAAATCAACAAGTAATTTCAACAGATTATGGACTACTAAAAACAGATGACAGCAGGTCAATGGCCACAATAGGCAGAATAAACAGCTACCTGAAATATTTGATATAGAGTTTACAGAGGTGGAAGATGCTGTCTGCTCCAAAGCACATTAGGTTAATTGCAAACTTTACACGTCCCTGCTCCTCTTTGCATAGCACAAGAGCCCCCTGCCACACACACACACACAGGTTCTTCTCATAAGAAATCAAAATAATTTGGGGGGGTAGTTAAGTTCTAACAACTGAAACTCTTGTTTTATTAGTTATACAACTTTATTTCATTAGATGTGTTTCTTCATGTAAGAAACCTCTTCAAGTCATGCATGAGTTATCATAATAAATCCTTAGAGATTTATCCTAGCACACTACTTCCTCTCTCCTTGCTAATATTCTGCTACATCCTCCCTCAACATCACTTTCAGCTTTGGCCTTATTTCCTCTTTCACTGAAAAAACAGGGCAACCAGATGAGACTCACCCACCAGCATCTGTGTCTGTATGCTGTGCCTCTGCTCTTAGTTCAGTGGAAAGATAAATTCTACAAAGGCCAACCTCTCCACCTGTGTCCTAGAAGCCATCCTCTCTCCTACTCAGTTATATTGCTCAAGCAAAATTCTCTGCTGTCTCTCTCATATCATCAAATTTCCTCTGTCTGGGGGATCTTTCCCATCAGAGAAAACTTGCCAATCCCTTTCCTCCCATCCCCCCTCAAACAGACGCACAAAACCTCTCTTGACCAGACTTCTACTTCCAGTTATTATACTATTTCTCTCCTTCCGTTTATTACAAAACTCATCAAAAGAGTAGTTTCACTGTCCAAATACTCTAGTCCTATTTTTCAGGAATCCAGTCTAAACTAGGCCTTGCTTTCCAGTAGAGCATGAAGATAGTTCTTGTCAGGCTCTTTCTCATTGCTAAATTCAGTGTCCAATTCTCAGCCCTTATTTTTCTTGAACTCTCAGCAGCATTGGATATAAATGACTCTTGTCATTGCAACATTTATTCCCAGCATCTCTTGATTTTCTCCTACTTTGACAGATGCTTCTTTTCAGTCTCTTTTGCTGATTATTCTTCATCACCCCAACATCTTAATGTCACAGAGCTCCAGACTTCAGTTCTTGGATTTATTCTCTTCTGTAAGTGTACTTACTCCTTGGTGATCTCATTCTGTCTAGGGCCCTAAATATTGTTCACACACCGAAAATTTATATACTGCATCTAGACCATTCCTTAGAACTTCATATTGCTATTTCCACTCTCTACTTGACATCTCCATTTAAGAGGTCAATGGCCATCTCAAACTTACTATATCCAAAGCTGAACTACAACTTTCTTCCCAAAAATCAGCTCTTCCCTGTTTTCAATATCAGTTAGTGGTAGGACTGCTTCTGGTTTCTCAGGCTAAAATCTTCAATTCATCCTTAATTCCTCTCTAAGTTGTCAGTAAATCCTTTTGATTCTTCATTCAAAATATATCATGAATCTGAACATCTGACCAGTTCCACCCCTATAACCCTAAGTCATGCTACCGTCATCCTACAAACTGTATTACTGCACTAACCTTCTAATTGCTCTTCCCACTTCCACTCTTGCCACCTACACTCTGTTCTCAACACAGCAGCCAGAATGACCATGTCACAATGTTAGTCAGATCATGTCATTCTGCTCACAATTCCCCACTGGCTTCTCCTTTCTCTTAGAGTAAATCCTATAAGGCCTTCCATAAACTTCTTTGAACACATCTACTACTTCCTCCCTGCTGAAACACAACATGCACACATTTGTCTCAGGACATTTGCAGAGGATGTTTCTTCTGTCTGATGATTTTTGCCTTTAATTATTCCCATGGCTTATCTTCCCATATCTTGTAATATTTTCATTTATTAAAGTTTTGCTGCTTTTTTCTCCTTACATTTTTTTTCTCTGTCACCATTTCATAAAAGAAGTCTTGCCCATATGGGCTCCCTTGCCTCAGAGTACCTTACTATTCTAAGATTTAGGCTAAATAATACTTTCATTTTATTTCTCTACACTGTGCCATTAAAGAGATTATGGTAGGTCACCTGAGTGGAAGGGAGAAAAGAGAAATACATTTGGGAATGAGAAAGTCCACTATATTGAGGAACAGATAGAAAGTTGCACCAATCAGTGAGGAAGCCTGTTTCCTGTCAGCTCTTGGGAGTGACAAGACCACAACCCTGGAATAACTGAAGAGTGCATGGAGGTTGAAGCCTCGGCATTGGGTTCCAGCTTTAGTGAAAATGCTGTTTTCCTTTTTCACAGACAACTCAGGAGCAGAAGGAGACCTTAATTCAAGGAACTAATACTGACTTGAATAGTGAGGATGTCAGAAGCAGCCATCCTGGATGGAAAGTTTCGTTCCACATGAAAGGTTCTAGAGGGGAGCCTAGATGGCTCAGGTCATGGTCCTGGAATCTTGGGATAGAGTCCTGCATTGGGCTCCCTGCTCAGCAGGAAGCCTGCTTCTCCCTCTGACCCTCTCCCCTCTCATGCTCTCTCTCTCATTCTCTCTCAAATAAATAAATAAAATCTTTAAAAAAAAAAAAAAAAGAAAGAAGGAAAGAAAGATTCTAGATATTGATGAGAATTTGAGAAAGGATTCCTCTACCACCTAGGGTTACTATTCCCATCAGTCCAATATGGTACAGACTCAAAGATTTCATTTAATTAAAAAAGAAAAAGAAGAAGAAGAAGAACCAGGTGTTTCCTTTTTGTGACAAAAGATGCACAATTATTCCTTAGGTTTTTCTTTGCCAGTTTTTTAGAGCACAGATCTGTAGCATCTAAAGTATAGAATGTTTGAGTATTATTATGATGCTGAATCACTTGGAGTACCTGTAAAGAAATATAATAGCTTTGTAATTTATATTGATTATATATAAGTAGAAATCAAAAGTGTTTTAACCTATAACTATTTTCTCTTATGAAGATTTACAAGTCATATAGTTTTAATTAAAATGGCAAAGCTCAGATACCTCACTTCCATCTAGAATAATGCTATTAATGAATTTTTCTAGGCATTGTCAAAATTATCTGATTCAATCAAATAACCCCAAACCTGGAGCTTGGGGTTAGACTTGATCCTCCTTAGTCTTTTTCAACAGAGCAGTACACTGTGCTCAGAACAAGTCACCCCTGTATTCAGTGTTTCAAGTATTTCTCACTTCACTTTGACTGAAAGCCCAGACCCTTGCAATGGAATACAAGACCCCCTATGATCTGGCCCACCATATTCCCTTCTATCCCATCATCTACTACCCTCATCAGTAGCTCATTCTGCAAGCTTTCTGTGCCTTCTTGCTGTTTGCCAAGTATACCAGACATGTTTCTACCTGAGGACCTTCGTCTTTGCTATGCCCTCTGTCTGAAACTGTCTTCCCCCCAAATCCACATTTTCAGCTCTACTACCTCCTAGCTGTGATTTAGAGCAATTTGCTTAACCTTTTGTGCCTCATTTTCCCATCTACAGAAGGAGAAAAATAACAATGCTTCCCCTAGAGCCTTCCTTGTAAGGAGTAAATGAGTTACCATATGTAAAGTACTTAGAACAGCATGTGGCATAGAGTGACTACTACAGAAGCATTCACCAGTATAATATGTACTAAAAGCCTCAGCAGGTGTTTTGGATCACCTGATCACCTCTTCATAAAACAGAGTTTGAAAGTGTTATTTGTGAAGCAAATCATTACATTTTTCTGAAGTCTAACATGTAAATTGATATGATTCTCACCAGTAGAAACAATTCCTGATATAAACTGTAATTATTTACAGAAGCCTTCCTCCTATACTATGGAACATTTCAACAAATTCATATTCAGAAGACCTTTGGCTCAGTGTTTGATACAAACACATACTTAACAATTATTTTTCCTCTATGCTCACAATGAGGTTTCTAGAACAGGCTCAGAAACACCTGAAGTGCCTTCTCATTCATTGAGAAACATGAAAAATTACCTTCAGTACACATTTACATAAAGTATATTTTATTTTGGAACTAATCATTTGAAAATTGGTCACAGCACAGTGGTAAAAATAGCACTAAATCTGGAGATATTTGGATTCATATATTAGCTCTACAACTCAACAGTTCTGTAAATGAGGAAGCAAGTTACTTAGCCATCTACAGACTTAGTTTTCCCAGCTCTGAAATAGGAGCTCAGGCTTCCTACATTTACTCTTCCCAACCTTTTGGATAAAATGAAATAAGGGGTATTAAAATCCATCTTAAAACCTATATTATTAATCATAATGATAAATGTGCTCAGCATTTACCATGTACCATGCACTGTGCTAAATACTTTATATAAATTGTCTTATTCACAGAAAAAAATGATTATTTTGTTGTAGGTACTTTGAATATCCTCATTGTTAGATGAAAAAAAGTCTTGGAACTCAAGTAACTTACCATTTAAAGAAATGTTAATTTTTCTACATATCAGCATTCTTTCTGAAATGTGTGAGTGATCATGACAATCACTATAAAGTTACATTAGAGATTACAAAGTTCACTATACTCAATGTGATACATATTGTGAAATAACTAACATTCATACATCAGCTTATAAAGTTACAACTTTTCTCTAGGTCTCACTTGAAATTAAGTATACTAATAATCTAGAAACATGACACAATTATTATTATCTTTTTTACTTTTAAACCTATGCTTTAATATCTCATGAATGTACTGAAATGTTCTCCCAATTTGTGGGAGAGTAGAGAAGCAGACTTTTAAATATTTCTTTCATATATACAGTGATCAGAATTAATCATAAGGTCTTTGAAAATTTTTAAATGTCTTGTATGTTGAATATTTATATGCAATATAGAGGCACATGTGACCACAGCCAATATTACGTACATGTTATACAGCATAATTCATTGAATGTGGGAGGAGAAAGAATATATAAACAAAGAAACAAACAAATACCCTTTTCCGAGTCTTCTCCTTTAGGAAAGGCCGGATCACGGTGTACAGGGCATGGATATACCATGGCTGATTGACAAAATGAATTCCTCCAAATCGTGCTGGGAAACTATCCTAAAGAGACACGGAGTGGGGAGAAAATCAACACATGCTTTAGTATATTGAAAAGGCTTAAGGAAGGTCATATGGTATATAAATTTGTTATTCCGCATGCTTAAATGAGATGATTTGTACAGTCAAAATAAATTAGAAAGAAGGAAGAATCTTACTGCATGAAACACTGTAACTTTCAGACCTAAACTGAAGCAATATGTAATAGAGCAAATCCTTCTCCAGCAGTTTGCTGATAAGAACTTCAACATTTTTAGGAAGTGCCATAATTTAAGCCTACAAACTGTTAACAGTCATTATAGGCCAAGAAACAGAAATAAAAGACATTAGGGATTTGTCAAATACTGAATTTACATTAGGTAAGTGTTTCATTTAAATTATTTCTGTTCTAAAGTGCATTTAAATTAAAATATTTTCTAAAATTTCACTATAGTTATCTACGATGTGAGCACTGTCATATATCAAAACTCATTTCAGGGGGGCCTGGGTGGCTCAGGTGGTTAAGCATCTGCCTTCAGCTCAGGTTATGAGTTCCAGATTCTGGGATTGAGCCCCATGTTGGGCTCCCAGCTCTGTGGGGAGACTGCTTCCCCCTCTCAATCTGCCTTTCCCCCTGCTCATGCTCTCTCTCAGTCTTTCTCTCTCTCAAAATGAATAAATAAGATCTTTAAAAAAGAAAACTCACTTTATTCTATCTTACCGACTTCATTATAAACATTCTCCTTCCCTTATTTCAGCCATAAAAAAGGGCAGGAAATATGTGAAAACAAAATCAAAGCTTAGTGTTGTAGCGTAAGAAGTGTGGGGGATGCATTTTGCTAGGTTAAATTAAGTCAACACCCTCATAGCGCACCCCACAGGAAGAAATTGGGCCTATTGTAAAGCCAACCCCCTCTTCAGCAAGAGCTCACTTGTGTAAGTTTTGCATGTGAAGTGATTTAGAGAGGTGTTTTCTTTCTGTGCGACTAAACAGGTACATCCCACTTCACTCCGTAATACGAAGGAAATCCTTAACTGAATGAATTGCAACATCTGACCTCACTTGAGTATGCTACGGATTCCACATAAATGGACTGATTCCTGCTACTAGTTCAAAACTCCACACTGAACTGACTACAAAAGTCTTATTAAAAACAAACTATACCACTAGAAGCATCTCTCAAGTTATCACAATAACTGGAATTCTTTTGGATTCTATTCAGAGCATGAATGGGAACAAAGGAAAAGCAAAGGAACTGAAATAATCATAGATGCATTTTCTAAATTTAGACTTTTTCTTTCTTTTTTTTTAAGATTTTATGTATTTGACACAGAGAGATACAGTGAGAGAGGGAAGACAAGCAGGGTGAGTGGGAGAGGGAGAGGCAGGCTTCCTGCTGAGCAAGAAGCCTGAAGAGCCAAAGGCAGACGCTTAATGACTAAGCCACCCAGGCGCCCCTAAATTTTTTCTTATATTAGATTGTCTAGTCAAAAACATGCATGGTATAATCCCATTAAAGTGTTCTAGTTTTGGGGGGACACTTAGGAGCATTAATAATTAATTCATGGTTTTCTATGTTCATTTTCAGAGCTAATAAGCGCTTCTCTTTGCAAAGCAATTTCTATCTCTGGGAGTAACACACCATAAAAGATAACAGAACTTTAAATAAATAAATAAATAAATAAATACATTAGAATAACTGAAGGTAAAATATGTCTCCTTTTATGTCAGTGCCTTACTTCCTTAATAAACATGTACTTTTCATTCCTCAAGAAGTTGTTAGAATAATAGAAATGAATCAGCTAGAAATACAGACATAATATTTTTTAAGTCATGACATTTTTTTTTTTTTAAAGATTTTATTTATTTATTTATTTATTTGACAGAGAGAGATCACAAGTAGACAGAGAGGCAGGCAGAGAGGGAAGCAGGCTCCCTGCCGAGCAAAGAGCCCGATGCGGGGCTCGATCCCAGGACCCCGGGATCAGGACCCGAGCCAAAGGCAGAGGCTTCAACCCACTGAGCCACCCAGGCGCCCCTAAGTCATGACATTTTTATACATAAAGAGAGAATAACATATATACAATTTAGAGAATGCTAAGATAAACATGCAAGTGCCCTCCATTCAGCTTAAGAACTAGACATGGTTAGTAACCTTAAAGTTCACTGTATTCATATTCTCTGACCCTCTCCCACATTTTAAAATTTCATATTGTAATTTTCTTGCTTTTACTTTGGTAATATTATAAATTTATATTATATTTTTACCTGCTCTTTTATAATTTTGTATATTTTATTTATTTTTATATTTTATAATTTTTTCTGTGTCAAAGAATTGTATGTATACATACAAACATCTCTAAAATATAGTTAGGTTTTTCTAAGTACTTACACTTTTTAAATATGTCACTGTAATGAATGTATTCTTCTGTTGTCACATTACATTGTTTTTGAGGCTCCTCATATTTGAGTTTTATACATGCGCAGCTGTAGTTCATTGTCACATTTGTATATAGTCTACTATTGTACAGTACATCATAATTTATTTTCTCTTGTCAGTGCATATTGTTTTTCAAATATTTGGTCTGCTTTGCTATCACCAGCCCTGCTGCTGTGTAGACTTCATCTTGTACATGTCTCTTGGGCATGTTCGAGGGTTTGTGTGGCGTGTATCTCTAAAGTGTTAACGTTGAGTCAGAGAGTGTACATACTTCAACTTTACATGATTGGTAACAGCGATTATATCAATTTCCACCCCTCCTCCCCCCAGCAATAAGGAAGGTTCCAGCTCTTCCACATCCTGCACTTGGTATTGTCAATCTGTTTAATTTTTGCCAATTTATGGGTTGAGATAGATTTTCATGTAACTTTAATTCCCTAGTTACTTTGTCTTTGCTTATTTTAATTACATCATTAATAACATTACTTAATAATATAACTATTTAATACATAGGTATTTTCTTAGTCCTTGAGTGCCTGAATTTGGTTACTGTATCTGCTGATCTTGCTTACAGTATCTTGTCTATGGTGAACTCATATGTGGCTGATATTAATCATTGGGAATTGTGAAGTAGGTGGCTTGAAGATGCCTTGCTCCAGATAAGGTCTGTATCAGCTCCTACTAGCTCCTACTCCTACTCCTACCAGCTATCAATCTGGTTTGGCTTTAATGTAATTTCCCATTTTGGGATTCCTCTGATAGTACAGTGCATATTCAAATCTCAAACTCACATGAGAAAATTATGGTCTCAGATTATCAGAGGAGACTATTATTATTATTAATACCAATATTATTATTAATTACCAATATTATTATTACTATTATTTTTCTACCCACTTATGGGAGAGAAGGAGAGGTTTATTTAAAGGTTTCCTAGCCAGCAGGGATTTTCCTAGCACAAATCTTCCCTGGAGGAATGCAGAGTCTCACATTTAGTCCCCATTTGCCCTTAGTCTCAGCTGAGGCAAGCCTTATCTTGGCTTCTGCCCACCCCAGGCCTTAGGCAATCATTACCCTCGAAAGCGGCAGGTTCCCGCAGTCAACACTTGCCTCCAGAGCCACCTGGCTTCACTTAATTCTCCTGGTTTTTGTTTTGTTTTGTTTTTCCAGAAGACTAGTGTTCTTGCCTCACAGTTCAGGGGCGGGTGAGGGGTGGTGACTTCTCTCATGCTCCCTAGAGTTTAGCAAAGGATGTGAAAATATTTTTGTTGTGATTTATCTAACACCTCTGTGTTTCATGGCAGGAAGATCTTCAAGAATTTTTAACCTACTGCACTACCTGAAGCAGAACTACTTGGAATGCTTTTAAAATACGCTCTCCTGAATGGGCATTTAATCTCTAGAACAAAAGTGAATAAACATCAGCTATCAAGTTGTGAAGGTAAATGTCTTAGCTCAGTATTTTTAAACCGACAATCGCGTGGAGCTCGTGCACCGTTATCGAAAAATGAACATGCACACATACACACAAAACTTACATATGAGTTCATGGGCTTTCTTGGGTATATCTTTACTTAAGGAAGGACGTGATCAGCACCAAAAACAGTTGAGAGAGGACAAAAGAGAAAGGAAACCCCTGACTTTGCAGTGAAATTCATCTAGGTTAAAATTCGGATTCGGGGCCACCTCTCAGGCATCGAAGTCCAAAACAAGGACAATATAACCCTTGATTCCCTCCTTCTCACCGTGATTGCCCATCTTTCCTTCCTTTCTCGTCTCCTTGTGGTACTATAATGACTCTCACATTATGCCTTCTGTAGCCATCGAGGTCCTTGGATACTCTGTTCCAGCTTTTTTGTTCAGTGTTCTTTCTTTTTTTCAGTTTTGGAGGTTTTTATTGATATATTCTTAAGCTTAGAAATTCTTTCTTTAGTCAAGCCCAGTCTACTAATAAGTCCACCAAAGGCGTCATTTCTGTTACAGTGTTTCTGATCTCTAGATATTTTTTCTTCTTAGACTTTCCATCTCTCTGCTTATACTGTCCATCTGTTTTTGAATGTTGTCTACTTTACCCATTAGAGCATTTAGCCTATCAATCAAAGTTGTTTAAAGTCCCTAGTCTGATAATTCCAACATTCCTGCCGTGTCTGGTTCTGATGCTTGCTCTGTCTCTTCAAGTTGTGTTTTTTTATTTTTTCTAGTATGCTTTATAATTTGCTTCTTGATAGCCAGACATGATGTACCAGATAAAAGGAACTGCTGTTAAGTCAGCCAACTGTAATGTGTTGGTGAGGCGTGGTGGGAGGGAAGTGTTCCACAGTCCTGTGATGAGGTCTTAGTCTGCTAGTGAGTCAGTGCCTCTGGACTGTGAACTCCCAAGAGTTTCTCAGTTTTTTCTCTTCCCTTAGGTGGGGCAGGTAGCCTAGAGTTGGGTATTTCTCTTTTCCTATGTGGAAGGCTAGAATTGGGTACCTTCCTACCCCCAGGCCAGTTTCTAACAATACCCCCGCAAATTAGGCTCTGGTTAACTTTCTCCTGAGGGCAGACCCTGTTAAGATCAGAGGAGGGCACTTGTGATGAGCA